CCTCTTCGAAGTCATTCCTTTAGACTAGGATACTTTTGGATTTCCATTTTTGGAATTGTCTTTAGAATCTATGACACATTCTTCGGAAATTATTCAAAGATATCAAATAGTCTTTTCAGGACGAATACGAGAAATGTTAACAGTGGTTAGTATTTTTTAACAGTTTTTTCAGATATAACTCACATAACGTACAATTCATCCATTTAAAGTGTACAGTTCAGTGGTTTTTATTGTATTCACAGAAATGTGCAACCATCACTATAATCAATTTTAGAACATTTTCATCACCCTAAAAAGGAAACACCCATTGGCAGTCATTCCCTATTCCCCACCCCACCCCACTCCCCAGCCCACTAATCTTCTGTCTCTATAGATTTGCCTATTCTGGACAATTTATAGAAAATGGAATCATAAAATATGTGATCCTTTGTGATTAGCTTGTTTTCACTTAGTATTATACTTTTATGGTTCATCCATGTTGTAGCATGTATCAATGGTTCATTCCCTTTTTTTTGCCAAATAAAATTCCATTGTATGGATATAGTACAAGTATTTTTTAAGCTCTAAGAACTTTATCAAAATTTTATTTTTATTTATTATATTATTTATTTATATATTATATATTTAAAGTTACAAAAGTAATACATGCTCACTGTCACAAGTAAAACAATATAGATAAATAAGGAAAAGATTAATACTTCCCTCATTCTTCCCCTCTTGAGGTAATGTTAATGGATTAGTTTGTAAGCTCCCACATCTTACTTTACATACATACAGATACACACGTATATAAGTACTTGGGATTTTTTGTTATTTAAAGAAATGTGCTTATGCCATGGATCTTACTCTGCAACTTTCCCTTTTTTATTGAAGTATAATTAACGTATTATATTACTTTCAAATATACAACCATTTAATATGTGTATACATTGCAAAATAATCACCACAATAAGTCTAGCTACCACACATCACTATACAAAGTTACAAAAATTTTTTTTCTTGTGAGAATTTTCAAGATCTGTTCTCTCAGCAACTCTCAAATATGTGATACATTATTATTGACTATAGTGACCATGCTGTCCATTACATCCTTATGACTTATTTATTTTATAACTGGAAGTTTGTACCTCTTGATCCCCTTCACTCATTTCACCCGCATCCCTCTGGCAACCAATTTATTCTTTGTATCCATGAGTTTTGTTTTGTTTGTTCATTTGTTTTGTTTTTTAGATTCCACATATAAGTGAAATCATATAATATTTGTCTTTCTCTGTCTGATTTATTTTACTTAGCATAATACCCTCAAGGTGTATCCATGTTGTTGCAAATGGCAGAATTTCATTCTTTTTTATGGCTGAGTAGTATTCCATTATATCTATACATCTTCTTTACCCATTCATCCATTGATGGACACTTAGGTTATTTCCATATCTTGGCTATTGCAAATAATGCTGCAATGAACATAGAAATGTTTATATCTTTTCGAATTAGAGTTTTTTTGAATAAATACCCAGAAGTGGAATTTCTGGATCATATGGAAGTTCGATTTTTAATAAATTAATTTTTTTTTTAGGAAGATTAGCTCTGAGCTAACTACTGCCAATCCTCCTCTTTTTGCTGAGGAAGACTGGCCCTGAGCTAACATCCATGCCCATCTTCCTCTGCTTTATATGTGGGATGCCTACCACAGCATGGCCTGCCAAGCGGTGCCATGTCCGCACCTGGGATCCAAACCAGCAAACCCCAGGCTGCCGAGAAGCGGAATGTGCATACTTAACTGCTGCGCCACAGGCCGACCCCTGTATGAATTCTTTATATATTTGGGGTATTAACTCCTTATCGGCTATATGATTCGCAAATATCTTCTCTCATTCACTAGGTTGCCTTTTTGTTTTATTGATGGCTTCCTTCACCATGCAGAAGCTTTTTAGTTTGATGTAGTCCCATTTGTTTATTTTTGCTTTTGTTGCCCTTGCCTTTGGAGTCAGGTCCAAAAAATTGTTGCCAAGACCCATGTTAAGGAGCTTATGGCCTATGTTTTCTTTTAGGAGTTTTATGGTTTCAAGTCTTACATTCAAGTCTTTAATCCCTTTTGAGTTGATTTTTGTGTCAGGTAGAGGTCTAGTTTCATTCTTTTGCATGTGGCTGTCCAGTTTTCCCAACACTATTGAAGAGATTGTCCTTTCCCCATTGTGTATTCCAGCCTCCTTTGTCATAAATTACTTGACCATATACGTGGGGGGTTATTTCTGGGTTCTCTATTCTGTTTCATTGAACCATGTGTCTTTTTATGCCAATACCATACTGTTTTGATTATTATAGCTTTGTAATATAGCTATAATTTTGAAATCAGAGGGCATGATGCCTCCAGCTTTGTTCTTCTCTCACGCAGCATTCTTTTCTCACTTAAGTTTACATCGTACGTAGAGAGGCCACACCAGTGGCCAGCAGTTCAGTTCGTGCTCTCCACTTCGGGGGCCCAGGGTTTGGCTGATTTGGATCCTAGGCGCAGACATGGCACTGCTCATCAGGCCATGCTGAGGCAGCATCCCACATAGTACAACCAGAAGGGCCTAAAACTAGAATATACAACTATGTACTGGGGGGCTTTGGGGAAAAGAAAGAAAAAAAAGAAGATTAGCAACTGATGTTAACTCAGGTGACAATCTTTAAAAAGAAAATTTACATCATAGATATTCTCTAGTTCAACTAATACAGATCTAGTTAATTGTTTTTTAATAATGGCAAAGTAATCCATAGAATGAACGTGTCACAATTTATTCAATGGTAAATTGAATAAATGACCATAAATGATATTGAGGGACATTCAGGTTACTCCTGGTTTCTTTTCTCCTACTACAAATAACGTTGCAATAAGCATCCTGGTATATATATTCTTATAAGTGATTCTTTTCTTTCTGTAGAATAGATTCTCAAACATGGGATTTCTGAATTAAATAATCTATCTATATATTTATATAGTCAGGGAAGTGAAAGATTACAGAAATTAAGAAGGGCGGGTAACTGGTGCTTGTCACTTAGGCTCCTACCCTGCCACAGGGGCTGGGAGAAGGGGCTCTATCTTCCTGTTTTGGCATTGGTGGGAACAAACAGTAAACTTTTTTGGCAGCCTTGAGTTTTCTCAGGCAGGCACTTTAAAGGGAGCTAGGGTCATTCCAAGGGTGCAGCTTGAGCTGTCAGAAACTGTGTTAGTGTTTTTTTTCAAGTCTCTATAGACCAAGGTTGAGGCCTAGTTGAGAAGAGGAGCCTGGCTAGAGTTTGATCGAGGAGAGTATCGTAGTGTTTAGCCTCCTAGAGAGACTGCTCTTTTGAATAACACTTCTTTGAATAAATGTTTGTTATATTACCTTATTATGACCCTTCATACATGTGGTAACATTTGCCCTCCATGATTTTTAAAAAACCTTCTTGAGTTTCAGTGGCAGTATTATTTCGAAAGGGCAAAGGTGCAGAACGAGAAAGCCTTCAGCCCACTTCCCACTTTGCAAGTCTTTTACACTGTCTCTTCACTGAGTGTCCTGTCAGTAAATTCTTTCCCAACATTTCAGTAGCAGAAATGAAAGTTTCCAAATATGACACGTGTCAAGGTCACTAACATGGTCAGTTCTAATCAAGCAAGAAATACTTATTGACAGCTTGGTAGGCTTAATGCACTGCGGTGTTGTGGACATAATGTAGTTTGGAAAAAGGAAAGTAAAAGGTACACATAGTTTAGCTCTTTCTTTGAAATTTCTAGATGTAGTGGAGAAGGGCACCTAATGCTCATATTTTTATCTTCTTAAGTAGAAGTGTTTATTTCTTGTACGACTTGCATCTTGTTCCATTAACACCTCCACTCCCCCTTTCTTACTCTGCTCCAGTGGCCTCCTTGCTGTTCCTCAAACATGCTAGGCATCTTCCTTTCCTAGAAAGCTCTTTCTCCTGATATTTACCCAGCCCACTCTCTCACTCCCTGCCAGCTTTTGCTCAAATGCTTTCTTGCTCAATGAGGCCTACCCCGACCATCCTATTTGAAGTTGCACTCCATTCCCCAGTCCTCTCACCCTACTCTATATATTACATCATTTACTTATTTTTTCTAATTATCATCTGTCACTCTCCACTAGAATATCAGCTTCATTCGAATAAATATTTTTAAAAATCTGTTTTGTCCACTGATCTTTTTCAAGCACCTAGAACACTGCCTGACACTCAGAAGGAACTCAATAAATATTTGGAATATTTATTGCACTGAATTTCTATTCCCTTTCTCCACGTTCCACCTTTATTTCTATCTAACTTATTTTCCTTCCATCCTTACTGTTCTTCATGGTCTTACACCGATTTTTCTTTTCTTTTGTTGAGGTGGGGGGGGGGGTGAGGTGGAGTATTTTAATTACAGAAATGGGATCAAATAATACCCTTCACTCAGCCACCAGCTTGTCTCACCTAACAATACTAGGACAATAGTTATAGATCCTATATTCTTTTTAATGCTTGCATAATGTTCCATCGTATGCTATGGGTACTCTACTTTTAGTCATGTCTGTCACTACTTTTCCACTCCCTTCACATTGGACCACCCCATCCCCAGTTTCCCTCATTCTTCCTTTCACCTAGCAGCGTTTACCCATTCATCTGTGCCCAACAGTCCCCAGAACATAGTGATCACTCAATAAGTATGTGTCGCTCCACCGGTCTGTTTCTGACAGTGATGAGCAGTGTGCCTTCTTTGAGAGGGAGGCACTGAAGAGACAGAAGAGGGCACTAGTGAAGAAATAACGTGGTTCACTCGAATACATAGGGAGGAAGAAGGAGAGCTGGGGTGAGCCTCCGCCGGTGCCTTTGGTGTCTTCCTGAAGCAGCGAGGGCCCCAGAGGGACCAGGCGGGCCTGGAGAACCGAGGGGACAATGGCTCCCCGAGGGCTGGGCAGACTTGGGGCGCCAGCCGCCTGCGCGGGCGGGGCGGAGGGGCGCGGCCGGCCGGGGGCGGGGCGGGCGGAGCGCGCAGACGCGCAGCGGCTGGCCGACTGTCGGGTGCCGGGGACTGACTGCTGCGCTGCATGAGCTATGGGGCTCACCGCCAGGGAGCTTGTCTCGTCGCTTCTGGGGCTGGGGCTGCTGCTGTGCAGCTGGGGGTGCCCCGGGAGCGCCGAGCGACGGGCCCCGCCGGATAAGATCGGTAGGCGAGAGCGGGGCGGCGCGGACGGGGGTGCGGGAGCGCGCCCCGCGCCGGCCGGCTGGCTGCGTGGTGCACGGACTCCGCAGCCGCGACGCCCGCCAGGCCGCGTGGGCCGCGCGCTTCCCGGTTCGCGCCTCGGGGTCGTTTTCGGTGCCCGAGCACCGTGCCTTCCCGGGCGTGGAGATCGGCCCGCTTGAAGAGTGGGCCGTGCAGGGGGGTCCAGGGCGAGTGGGCGGCCGCCAAGCGTCCCTGCAGCCCGTGTCTCTGAGGTCCCTCTCGCCGCCTTGCCTTGCCGCACCTTTGGGAGGCCAGTCCTCTGGTTCGTTCTGGAGAGACGGGCCGCCTGTGCTCTGCAGATGACAGGCGCACGCGGGCACAGCACGCTGAGCAGTGCAGACAAGCTGAGCCCGACTGCTTCCCTTGATAGCTGGAGCCCCCTGCCCCCGTCTGCTTTGCTGAGGTGGCCTGCTCTCAGAGGCCCCTGGCTTGCACACAATTTCTCTGCCTAGGACTACGACACAGCCGAAAGAATGCACTCTTTTTCCAGTTTCAGTCTTCCTGGTTTTTTTGGTCCCTGTTTGTTTTGTTTTGCTTTCTTTTTTATTCCCCATAAACTGTGTTCTTTGGGTTCATTAACCTACCTACATTAATGAGACAAAACAAATCTAAGCAAAAATGGCGGCCCCTTATTTAAAATGCGTGCTGGGAAGGCCCACCTTCTCTGTTCCCATGCATTGGGCACAAAGAAGGGTGAGCGGGCCTGTTGGTGCATCGACGAAGAAATGTGTGATCTTTGGGCATCTGGCAAGAAAAAAATCTAATGTCAGTTTGTAAGTTAATCTACCGGTTTTATCTGGGGCAGGGTCTGAGAGATTCAGAGTTCCGTCTTCACTGCAATTGTCACTTGCCTCCCTCTCCCCAAGCTTCCCCAAATTGTTGACAAAAACAAAACAAAACCCACATAGCTGGTAAGAGGGAAAGAAATTGTTCTTTTTTTTTTCCCCTATAGCAATTATTGGAGCTGGAATTGGTGGCACTTCAGCAGCCTATTACCTGCGGCAGAAATTTGGGAAAGGTGTGAAGATTGATCTGTTTGAAAGAGGAGAGGTGGGAGGCCGTCTGGCCACCTTGACTGTGCGGGGGCAAGAATATGAGGCAGGAGGTTCTGTCATCCATCCTTTAAATCTGCACATGAAGCGTTTTGTCAAGGACCTGGGTAGGTAATTTGGCTTTAGAGCTAAGCAGATTTCTGTGTAACCATCCATGGATATTTTTCTCAAGATAGGGAACTGAAACTTTTCTGTCCTTTACAGAGAAATTGGAAAAACTCTTTTCCCCACTTTTCCTGCTAGCAGTTAGTACTGCCTTAGTTAGGAGCCACTCTCCTGTAATGGGACTCTACTTATCTGTATCTTCAGTTATCTGGAATTACAGCCATAGGGCGGGGGTGGGAGTGGTTGCTCTTAAACCTGGGGTTCATGTTGAAGAATCAAAGAATGCCTTGAGTTAGCAGAAACCTCGTGTGCTTATTTTGCAGCTGGGGAAATGAGGCACAGAGGCTTGACATGTTTGGCTTAAAGTCACTCACATAGCTATGCGTGTAGACATATGCCTAGAACCTGGTGCATCTGACTGCTTCCCTACCTGCAGAGGAGCTGGGACAGGTTGTGGGGGAAGGCTGGCAGGCCTCTGCAAGTCCTTTCTTTCGGGAATATTTGTGTAACTTTGGCCTCCTTCCAGTTATCTGAAATACCCTGTTATGCAGAATAGGATTGGCATAGGAATGGGGATAGCTTCTTTTTCTTAGCTGCATTCCACCTCTCCTGTGGAAGCTTCTTGGGTCTCTCTTTCCTCCATGAGGGCAAATATATAACAGGAGCGATTTATGCTGCGAAGATTCATGACTGGCATTTCTGTTTTTAAGTTGAATTCAGTTGGTACTCTTTTTTTCCTTTGACTTTTTAGCCTTTTTAGACTAACAGTAGCCATTCTAATTTTGATATCTCTGCATGATCTGATCTAACTTTTGGAGACTCTGCTTTTGGACAGTGTAGTGAGTGTATAGTGTGTCACACACTGTTCTAAAGATAGAGCTCCTTTAATATGTCTCCTGGGAACTGTGGGAAGCCCGGGATTCACTCACTTCAGAGTGTGCCTGATAGCTTCCGATTACCTTTTTTCCTTTGATCAGCATGGAAACCACTGACCTAGCTCCCCTCTCTCTGTTTTTGCAGGTCTCTCTACTGTGCAGAGCTATGGTGGCCTAATGGGGGTGTATAACGGAGAGAGACTGGTGTTTGAGGAGAGCAGCTGGTTTATAATTAACATGATTAAACTAATTTGGCAGTATGGGTTTCAGTCCCTCCGAATGCACATGTGGGTAGAGGATGCATTAGACAAGTTTATGAGGTAATTTTTTTCTCTTCCGTTTAACCTAAGACCTTTTAGTTAGATGTTCTTTAGGAATTACCGTTTCTTGGAACAGTTCTCTGCCTGACTGCAAGGCCTGTTTGTTGGTAAGATTGTTAGGCAAAATGTTTTTTATAAAATACACAAGCCGGTTATCCACTTGGAAATTGAAAGGGTACTTTATTTTTGCTTCTGAAAATGTGTATTGCAAATGCTTGTTTAGTGTTCCTGGGCTTTGTTAAATTCTCTCCAAATATTAACTCCTTGAAATCTCAGGACAGCTCTCTCAGGTGGGTACTGGTTTAGCTTTATGCAGGTGTAGAAGGTGGAGGCATAGAGGTTGCAAGTGTGCAGGCACACCCACTTAGTAAGTGGTGGGGCTGAGTTCCTCCCCAGGCAGGCTGGCTCCAGAGTCCCCACTCTTCATCTCGGCACTGTGCTGGTGTTGTGTGGATTAATGAGGGAATGTGTATAAGAGCTTGTAAAAGGGATCAGAAAACTTAAATGAGCTTTAATGGTGACGTGATGTTCCAGTGGGCCAGCAGCCTGAGGTGGAGTATCAGTTCTGTGCCCCAAGAATTTAAATTAAGGTACTAAACTCCAGCACTGTCCTGGGTAGTGGGAATACAGGTGGCTTTTTTTTCTTCTTTATGCTTTTCTATATTTTCAAAATTTTCTATGTGTATGAATGCTCATTGCTTTGCAATAAGGAAAAATAACATTTAATAACCAGTCAAACTTTGAAAGATGCAACCTTTTGCTTTTTTTAAGGCTCTTGGCATGTGCTAATTTTTATGCTGGTTTACAATTTTAGATGCTGGAGAAATTCAACTTGTAAGTGCTAATAATAGTTTATTACTATGACTGTTCCAACATAATAAAGTACTTGTTAAAAAGGTAAAATTACATGTCATATGACTGAGTATTGCCCAGAACAAATATAGGAGTGGAGTACAATGAATACACTCTAGTTTCTGTAACTTATATTAGTTAGAGATTTGTTTCTTTCTAAACATCATTCTTAGGTCAAATCCTTGAACATCTTTTCAGTGGGTACATTCAGTTCAGCTACAGTGCAGACTGTTTTAAAGTAGGCATTCATTCATTTATTCATTCACCAAATATTGAGTGCCAGGCACTACTCCAGGTCCTGAGGGTGTAGAACCTAGAACATTTCCCTGCCCTCAAAGAAGATACATGCTAATAGAGAGACAAGCAATAAACCAATAACTAAAAAAAAATGCAGGATTTTTTAAAGAGAGACAGCCAATCACTCTTTAAAGAAGGTAGGGGGCACGTTGCTACATGCTCAGCAGGAAAATCAAGTTCAGATGGCATCGGATGCAGCTCTGCCTGTAACACACTTCTTACCCGTGGCTTGCTTGACATGTAGAAAGTTGCCCTTTGACAAATAAAGAAATCACTTTGAAGTGAATTCAGGGTGTTACGGAACTGTGAAAAAGACCCAGTGAGAGGATACATAGATTATCCTATTTTTGATTTTAGAAAACAATTCCCAAGCTTTATGAAATTACTGCCCCCCCGTCTGCGTTTGATATTTGATTATATAGCACTGACCTTTATGTTGTTTAAAGGGCCATGCATCGTACATTTCTGTTTCTTTCAATAAATCAACATACAAATCTTATTTTGACAATTTTATCATGCGCTATGAGATAATTGGAGACAAGGCTGGTATTGAGCCAGCATGTGCCAGTTGTTGAAGTAGTGAAATTCTGCTGGACTATGAAATAGCTGTGTGTTCCCACTCAAGGCATCTGCCTGCTTTTCGGGAACCGCCCCCCCCCCCCCCCCCCCCCCCCCCCCCCCCCCCTCAGCAGGGAATCTTAACTCAGTCCCAGTGGTGTAGGCAGTCTACTTGCTGTTTAATTCTTTGCCAGCGGTTAAATATTGGTAGTATTCCATGTTGGAGTTACTCAGGAATGTTGCAACCAGGATTGGGAGCTACAGAGGTTGCCAAAGAAGAATCTGGAACAACGAATTCCCTTGCTTTTCAGTAAAGCAGTAGTTCTCAACCCTGGGTGCACATTAGAATCACTTGGGATCTTTTTAAAATAAGAATGCTATATTCTACCTCTAGAGATTTTTGATCTCGTTGTTCTGGAGTAGGGGTCTGGGCATTGATATTTTTAAAAGCACCTCAAGTGAATCTTAACTTACAGCCAGAGTTGAGAACAACTACGTTAAATGTGCAATTGGAGAATACTCTTGAGTTTTTCTTTCTTTGAATGGTATAAAACCTAAAGTTCTTGCTTGAAAAGTTTTTTCTCTTTTTTGGATATATATGACAGATCCAGCTAAGTCCCCTTGAAAGTGGCTTGTGTCATCTTCTGCAGAAACTCTTGGGAGATTTGCTGACCAGCTTTGGGGAGGTATCTTGTCATTTCTCTGCTTCCATTTCAAAGAGTGCACGGTGTGAGCAAAGGCCCATATGATGGTAGTAAACCATGACACTTGAAAGAGGGTTCAAACTTGTAGGCAACACCCCACACTCCTGGGAGTATGCATTCATTCTTCTCGCTGTTGGATGTACTTGGGTGGAAATTCTGTAGCCCGTGATATCCACACTTGCCAGGTTAATGTCCAGTTCTGAGCAATTATTTATGCAGTTCTTCTGGTTCGATGCCATTCTTACTCCAAAGTCCAATCTCTAATCTCAGTCTTTCAACAAAACCTTCCCCTAATACTCTTAGTCACCATTGATCTCTCTTTTCCAACGTCCGTTAGGAATTAGATGGTGCACAGCACACATACACTTGTGTTGTTGTGTAGTATGCGCAGTAATTATAATGTAGTAGATAATTCCCTCAAATGTTTGTTGAATTGAATCCTTTGGTCCACTGTTGCTTCCTGTTGAGATATCTTGGTGTCTAGGCTAGGGTACAGCTCATTCTTGTCTCTAGCACTTAGTGCGTTTCTGGGGACCTGTTAGATCCTTAACACTTCTTGGTCTGAGACTGATAGGACTGACAGTGAAAGGCTTTATAAACACCCTTTTTTCCTTCTAGTTAACGGCTAACAAACATTTTGCCATTTTTTGTTTCTTTCTCTCATTTCCCAAATCCAGTCTGTCTGGAATCCTGTCAGTCTTTAACATATATCCAGAATTCCACCACTTCTCACCGCCACCACTCCTGCCACTTTGATCCAAGCCACTATTATTGTTCATCTGGCTTACTGGAATAGTCTCTTTCCCCCTTCAAGATGTCTACATCCTAATTCCTGGAACCTCTGAATGTGTCGCCTTACATGGTAAAAGGGACTTTGCAGATATGATCAAATTAAGGGTCTTGAAATTGCAAGATCCTTCTTGATTATTTAGATGGGCCCAATGTAATCCACAAACGTCTTTATCAGAGGGAGGCAGGAGGATCAGAATTAGTGGGAGATGTGATGGTGGAAGCAAGAGGTTGGGGTGATGCTTGAAAGGGGCCATAAGCCAAGGAATGCAGGTGGTTTATAGAAACTGAAAAAGGTAAGAAAATGGATTCTTTCCTCAGAGCTTCCAGAAGGAACTAGCCTTGCCAACACTTTGAGTTTAGCCCTGTGAGATTGCCTTTGTATTTCTCACCTGCAGAACCATAAGATAATAAATTTGTGGTGTTTTAAGCCAGTAAATTTGTGGTAATTTGTTACAGCAGCAGTAGGAAACTAATACACCTTCCAACTCATCTCCCTGCTTTTGCCCTTGTGCTGCCACAATCTGTTTGCAGCATAGCAGCCGAAGTGGTCTTTTTAAAATCTAAAAGTCATCACATTACTTCTCTGCTCAGAAACTTTCAGTGGCTTTCTATATCCTGCAGAGAAACGGCCAAAATTATCCCATGGTTTGGAAGACCTGACAAAGGACATGGATAATCTCATCCCTTATTTTTATATTTCCTGTTTCTTATGGGCAGAATTGTCCTCCCTCCCGACCCCGGCCATTCATATGTTGAAGCTCTAACCCTGTGCACCTCAGAATATGACTGTATTTGGAGATGGGACTTTTAATGAGGTGATTAAGTTAAAATGAGGCCATTAGAGTGGGCCATATCCAATCTGACTGGTGTCCTTATCAGAAGAGATTAGAACACACAGAAGAGGCACAGGGAGGTGCATGCACAGAGGAAGGACCGCGTGAGGACACAGTGAGAAGGTGGCCATCTGCAAGCTGGGGAGAGAGGCCTCAGGAGAAACCACACCTGCCAATGCTGTGATCTTAGATCTCCAGCCTCCAGAACTGTGAGAAATACATTTCTGTGGTTTAAGCCACCTGGTCTGTGATACTTTGTTGTGGCAGCTCTAGTGAACTAATACACTGTTAGCTTCTGCCTACTTGTTCTACTCATTATTGAGAGTGGGATGTTAGTGTCTCCAACTGTGATTGTTGAATTGTCTGTTTTCCCCTTCAATTTTGTCAGTTTTGCTTCATGTATTTTGGAGCTCGGTTGTTAGGTACATATATGTTTATAATTGATATGTGTTCCTAATGGCCTAACCCTTTTATCTTATAAAATGTCCTCCTTTGTCTCTAGTAACAATTTTTGTCATAAAGTCTATATTCTCTGATATTGGTATAGCTACTCCAGGTCTCTCTGTTACTCTCTGTGTGGTGTATCTTTTTCCATCTTTTTACTTTCAGCCTATTTGTGTCTTTGAATCTAATGTGTATTTCTTGTAGACATCATATAGTTGGATCGTGTGTTTTTATCAACTCTGCCGATCGTTGGACTGTTAGTCCATTTGTGTTTAATATAGTTACTGTTAAGGTAAGTTTTATGTCTCTCATTTTGCTATTTGCTTTCTGTATGTCATACGTTGTTTGTTTCTCTGTTCTTCCATTACTGCCTTTTTGTATTATCCATTCATCTGTTGGTGGACATTTAGGTTGCTTCCACCTCTTAGCTATTGTGCATAATGCTGCAGTGAACATGGGTGTTTAAACATCTCTTTGATCCTGTTTTCAATTCCTTTTGGATACATATCCAGAAGTGAGA